CAACGCTTTTTCGGAGATATATTTCTTTTTCTTGCTAAAGATCCAGAGTTATTGCTCTGTAAGAGTTACAAGTGGATGGGCAAAGATTGGGCCAAGCAGAAAGCTGCTTTTAACTGGTTGTTAGGTCGCTCAAACTGGTTATTTCTGGCCAAAAGAAATCGCATGGATGATGTTGAAGGTTAGGAATTCGGTAAGGTACCTAGCATTAGAGTTATCTAAGGGAAGTTTTGGATTAGGTACCAACAATCAAAATTATTTAAGGATTTTGGGAAAAGGATATTTAGTAATTACTTTAACACCAGGGTTCCATTTTTGTATCTTAAATTAAAAAGTCATGGGATTGTTGGACATCGTCTATTAACCATATATTTTCTGTAGCACTCTCGACATTCCACATTCCCACAAATTGTAGATCATCATTCTATGGACTTATATGCATTCTTTTCAATTTTACAGTCTGTGCCTTCATTACACAAGCCTTATCTTTGCGTAACTTAAATTTATTACACATTCCTGTGTCTTTTCTTAATTGTTAAATCATAAAGCACACATTTTGCAACTGATAAACGATGGCAATCACTTCCCCTTCAATTGATCCCAAACACTCGACAATTATTTTTGATGAAACTAGAAGCTCTGGCGTCTCCTTCTCCCGCCCCTCCCACTTTTCCGGCCAATCAAGCCATTAAAGAAAAGCTGCTCCTGTGCCACATGGACCTATATACACAGATATATCACTTATGGCACACAAATAGGGCTGCAATACAAAGTTTGAGCGAAAATGGTGAATGTGAGCGCGCCAATCGAGATTTAAGCGAATTCAACTGGTTTAGATCGGTGGCCATTGGACTGAGCCGGATTGCGCCGGTTTTGGCCAGAAATTCGCCATCGCTGGGGGAATCTTCGAAGAGCAACCGCATCCCAGTATCCAAAGACAAGGCCGGAAACTAAGAGCAAAAAGCCCAACAAGAAGAGAGCGATGGTCAGCTACACAGAGGTAAAATATCACTTAAATGTCTTATCAGCGCTGTTGATTTTAAATGCTTAATGGAACTTGTTTCTAGCACATTTATCATCATTGTTCTATAAAAAGTAAGGTACAAAATTATAAAATGGTAACCACTTTTTTATAAGATTTCTCGACTTTACATTTTTTAAATTCCTAAAGTCATATGTTTTATTTGTATTATTAATATTATCATTTATAATGAGAAAGATTTAACAAAAATTATGTTAGAGACAAAAAAGATTAGAAAACTTTCTTACCTTATTTATGATAAATATTTATAAAAAATTTACACTTTAAGCTTAAAAATAATTTAAATAACTTAGAACTGATAGTGTCAAGTTTTTTGGTTTGTTATCTTGAGGGGCTGGTGTGTGAAACTCGTTTTTCTCGGCGGAGAACCCACAGGTCGTATGAGTTTTGAGTTCTGGTTGGAGTTGGGGGCAGGCTTGTAGCTTAATTGTTGGACTTTTCCCCCAGACCGTTTCAAGAAGCCCTTCGTTATTATTAAATGGCATCATCATCTTCGTAGCCAATTGATATGCGTGCTTTGTTTCGCCTTTTATCTTGTCTGGAGAGCACTCTCCCCTCCCACTTTATTATTATTAATTTAAACAAAATAAAGCGTTTGGCGTGATTTGTGGGGCAGACTGTTGGCCAAAGATACGGATCGCAAAGTGGGTTCCTCAGATCAATCAGAGCTATTTTCCCCCAGCCTTGACAGCTGCAAATATTACCCAACAGCAAAAAGAGTCGAACAATTTACGATTATATTTAAATATATTCAGAATGAGAGTTGAGATTTAACAGCTTGTTCGACAAATGCATTTGCACAAACTGTTTTTCAGTAATAACCTTCCTGCTGCACTTAGTCATAAATAACTAAAGCCGATTTCTCCTAATTAAAGTTTCTGGGCTAAAATACTTCGCACCTATAAATTAAACTGTCCTGGGTGTTTGCACTAGGCGGGTGTTAATCAATGACAACTAAAGTAGGAAACACCAAATAACTCATTTGCATTTGTATATTCACAATTAAACACTCAAGCTGCTTTCACTGGGAAACTAATTAACTTCCTCACCTTGGTTAATTATTTTCCAATTCGTTAAGTTCAAGATCCTTCAATTGTCGGTTTTATTTAGCTCTCAAATGGTATTAAACGTGGAAAACCGTATCTTAGAAATGTTCTGAATTGTATTTGCAGTATTGTGCCACGATTATTTCTGTATTTCATTAACGTGTTTTTTTATTTTATTCACAAAACAAATTATTCACTTTGAGTTATAATCCTTTGCTTGGTCCTTTTGATCCGAGTCCTTCGTGGATTCTTTCTTCACTTTAAGCACTTTATTTTTTCTTGGTTTCCCAGTCCGCTTATCGCTGTTCGAACGTATTCACAATTTTCAAATGAATGAGTTTTGCAAGCGGCCGTTACGCTTTTTTATACGACATCCAAGGCGGCAAAATCTCGGGCTCCCAGCTTCGGGAACCCCACAAATCGAGATCTCTTCGGGGCTTCGAAAAGCGAAGAAAGAGCGAAAATCGAACTAAGAGCAGGCAAATCGTCGCCGGATATGCGATCGCCGATCTTCGTAGAGAGAGAAGCAGTCGTGTGGAGTGCTAAGATATAGGCAACTTATTTTAAACTGGGATTCAAAATAATCATTTCCTAAGGTACGTAAGACTATAGGTGCAAGACTATATTGATTATAATACTAAATATTGATGGCTTAAGATGACTTATTTATATCTAAGATAGGATATCAATGATATAAAGATGATGCTCAGATGATCCTAATTTACTAACAACTATACAAACGGTTTTGCTAAATATATGTATTTTTTTATAGACATGAGAGACATTATTATGTATATTGATATATTCTTTGGTAACCGAAGCCAATATGTCATCAAGCTTTTCATAAAATAACAGTGATAAATTACTTTTAAAATTAAACCCGAAGACATTTATTGATTTGAAAATATAAATCAATATTTATTTAATTGAAACAATCTCATGGGGTTAAGTAATCCGAGCACAATAAATTCCTGATTCGATGCAGGGAGCTAAATTTGATGAGAAATGTTTGCCAAACCATCTAAAAAAAGGTTCAACTGAATTGCTGCCAATTAATTTCAGAATTGCAACGTTCTGATTCATATACGAAGAATCATTTCAATTCTTCAGAAGTCTCCACCGCGAAAGTCGGAAAATATCCGGTATTTTCCAACTCCTTTGCAGATCTCTCGATCTCGATCGTTAATTAAATGGGTGACAAGTAGTGCCAAATGAAATGCGTTGTAAACAAAACACAAAAGTTTAATTGCTGGTTCTTAGCCAGTTTGGGTTTGCGTGATGTGTAAATATTTCCATTTGGCTCACCCTTTATTACTTTTTAAGTAACTCGAGCCCGAGCCACAAAGGAAAAAAGTGCGCCAATTAATAATGAAAACGATTTTATCTTTTTTTTGTACAATATTGTATTCATCGCCTCGCCTCAATTGCCTGCTGGTTATGTTATGTCTTACTTGGATAACGATAACGAGTTCGATCTGGTACGATTTTGATCAGGCATGACACTCTTTCTCCCGCTAATAGAAAATTATTTGTTTACAATTCTTGTGCGCCAGTGTGGGTGTTTAATTTTAATTGAAATGTATTAGGAATTTGAATTCAAATGTGAATTGAAGCGGCGCCGGTCAGTTCAAAAAGAGTTTCAACCGCAATAAATTTACATTGGGGCCAAAGAAATGGGAAATGCACGTGTTCGGGTCTTGTGGGTCCAAACATTAAGCCCGAATTTCTGGCCGGTACTTCCCCCAAGGCGGAAAATCTCCAAAAAATAACGCCCAGTTTCTAGTAAAGGTCAGTGAGTTAACTGGGCAGATATGCATTTAAGCATGAAGCGTGTTGCATTAATTAAATATGCCCGCCATGTCGTTAACTAACAGTCTCATGTAAATCTTGGCCATTCAACTACTTTAGCCGACGAAAAGCAGTTAAAAGCAGTTCGGCAAATGCGACTCAGTGTTTAGGCCCGAAACGATTCCATCCCACCCAGACAACAAATCCAGCCAAGGCACCTGAAACTCTATTTCTCGGATGCAAGTGGACCCAAGACGTCACAAAACTGGTCGAGCCTCTCGCCCGTCAGGTTGTTCTTTCGGACTTTGGTCCGGTTGGGTCGGTCTCTTACATGATGTTATATCAGAACGTTTTCCAAACATTTACGAGACGATCCACACACGTGCTGGCTGCGTGCTGTCGAAATGGAACGTACGCAATATCAACAAAAAGAATTTTTGGGTTCACGCGGTTCCGGCATTACACAAGATCATCGACTGGAGACGACCGCCCATTCATATTTATGAAATTGAAATAGGAATAGGAGAAAGCGTAGTAGTCAATTAATGCGCTAATGAGAGTGGGCGTTGACATTGCTAAAATACTAATCAATATTACAAGCACTGAGAAAAAAGTATTAAAAGAAAAAACAATATGTTGGAAACTAAGTTCATTATTTCAAGATTCTAGAAAATCCTTTCAAAATCGTCGGTAATATTACTGTAACTGAAATATTATTCCGTGGTAAGTTAGTAGCTACATTTTAGTAATAACATTTTTCCTCAATTTTTTTTTCAGTGATCGCACTTAGAAGTACTTAAATATATATTATACATAAATATCGTTAATTAAAAGTCTTAATTGGTGGTTTTAATCTCAGAACTGCTTTGTCATCGCACTTCCGTCATTTTGCTCTAAAATTAAAAAATATCATTTAACGCCAGCGGAAAATAAATACAATTGCACAAAAACAAAAGACGTTTCGTTAATAATTTTCAAATTACCCGCGAACTACGTTGGCGTTGCCCCTCCGTTTTTGCAGAGCTGCCAGAATTCTTAAAGTAGACACTGATAAGTAATCACTACATTCGATTACAATCACCAATTTTTGTCCATCTCTAGTTTCCTATATCTTAAAAAACATTTATAATTTTTAGTAAATTGTCATTTTAAACGTTTGCTCAAGCCAAGATGAGTGCCGCCGCCGCCGCCTCTGGAATTCAGAGCACCGCGGGCGCCGTTCCCATGCGCAACGAGAAGGGTAAGCACAGGGCTCAATCCCCGCCAGAAACTGTTAACAAAATGTTTATAACTTCCGCACAGGGGAACTGTCCATGCAAAAGGTGAAGGTGCAGCGGTACATATCCGGAAAGCGACCTGACTACGCCCGGGCGGACTCTAGCTCGGAGGTAAGCGACGAGGATGACTTCATTGACACCAGGAAGCGCTTGGAGCGCCACAAGGCGGAGCGACACAAAATGGAGCTCTCCCGTCGCGGAGGCAGTGCCGAGGGGGATGAGCGGGCGACGGGGGACGCCCAGGAGGAAGACGAGGCCGAGGTGGACGATCCCCGTCTGCGACGATTGCGCCAAAGGCCCGTGGACATGGAGGACATGGAACGCGAGCGACGGGAACGCCACCGACACATCCACGAACCGGAGATCATGGAGAGCGACAGCGAGGACGAGGAAGAGGACGAGGCGCCGCAGAAAACCATTGAGCGCGGCACCAACAAAATCACACTGGCCTCCGAGTCCGACACGGATGCCGAGCTCAGCGACACGGAGCTGGAAAACCGGCGCACCAAGCTCCGATCTCGTATGCTGCAGCAACAGCGCGAGGAGGAGGTGCTTCAGAAGGAGGATGAAAAGCAGTCTGAGTCCTCGGAGTCGGAGAGCTCAGAGTACGAAGAGGAGACGGAAAGCGAGGAGGACAACGAGCCGCGCCTGAAGCCGCTCTTTGTCCGGAAACGGGATCGTGCCACCATCCAGGAAAAGGAGCGAGAGGCCCAGAAGCAAAAGCAGCTGGAGGCGGAGGCCAAGCGGGCGGCCAAGGAACGCAGAAGGGCCACCTTGCGAATGGTCGAGGAGAGCGTCAAGAAGGATCTGGAGAAGACCAAGCCGGAGAGCAACGAGGCCTGCATAGAGGATGTGTGCACGGACGACGAGAACGACGAGGTGGAGTACGAGGCCTGGAAGCTGCGCGAGCTAAAGAGGATGAAGCGGGATCGCGAAGAGCGTGATAAGTAAGTCCATTTTAATGACTTGTAAAAACCCCCTTCAAATGTTTTGCACATCTTTCAGCACTGAACGCGAAAAGCTGGACATCGATAGGATGCGCAACATGACCGAGGAGGAGCGACGCCAGGAGCTGCGCCAGAACCCCAAGATGGTCACCAACAAAGCCACCAAGGGCAAGTACAAGTTCCTGCAAAAGTACTACCATCGCGGCGCCTTCTACCTGGACGAGGAGAACGATGTCCTGAAGCGCGACTTTGCCCAGGCCACGCTGGAGGATCACTTCGACAAGACCATCCTGCCCAAGGTGATGCAGGTGAAGAACTTTGGCCGTTGCGGCCGCACCAAGTACACGCATTTGGTGGACCAGGACACCACCAAGTTCGACTCGCCCTGGTACGCCGAATCCTCGAGCAACATTAAGTTCCACAACGAGCGCGGCGGCGGCATGCGGCAGCAGTTTGACAAGCCCACGGGATCGAAGCGAAAGAAGATGGAGTAGCCATAGACAGTGTGATGTATTTGACAGGCCGTAGGAGTGTAACAACTAATTTTAATATGGCCGCAACTAGATGGCCCCAAAAAACATTAAACAAAATACAAAAATCTTAAATTTAAAGCTTGATACATAGCTCTTCTGTGAATATGTGATGTACTTTCTTGTAGTTAATCAGGAGCTGCTTGGAATTATGGCTGACAAAAGTTAGCAATATCATTAGAAAATTTGAAAAACACTAAACAAAAAAAGAAATATGCCACAAATTAGGGCGTTTAAAGGCTGAGCTTGTACTCGTCCAGAAGTTCAACGTTGTGTTGGACGAGCGCCTGCATAATGGCCTCGGTTTTGATGAAGTGCACCTTTTCGTGGTTGGTCAGACGTCGCTTGGACTTTGTGTCCTTGCTTGTGGTGACCACGTACAGGTCCATGCTGATGGCCAGCGAGGGCGGTTGGACGTGGACCTTTCCGCCGGCACTTTGAATAATAACTGTGGGAGATCACCAAGATTTAAACAATGAGGTTGGTTAGGAGTACTCAGCTACACTTGCCTTTCATTTCGATGGCCTTTGGAATGATGTCTTCACCGAGCATAAAGTGTAAACCAAATAGTAAGCGAGGGTGTTCCAGTACAGACAGGGGTTTGAACCTGAAGATCTCCATGAACTTGGCATCACTAAACAGATGATCTGCCTTGATGTCGAGGCTTCTGCTCTTTTTCACGGAATGCAACCAATTGCTGGAGAGAACGGGTTTGTTGGAAGCAATCACCGCCAGGAACTTGTAGGTGCGCTCGCCCTTGTCCATGATGAGCAGGTCGCACTGTAGGGGATCCTCCGTGGTTTCCACCACGTCTGGAAAGTTGAAGTAATTTAATTAGAAGTCGAGTCGTTCCTTAAGTCTGCATTTTCTTACGCTTCAGGGACTTTAAGACTGAATCCAACGCCTGACGATTGCACATGGTGAAAGCTATTTTAATTTTTCCAGTGGTTTTGGCCTTTCGAACATATTGATTAAAGGCTAACCGAAAAGAATATATGTGAATATGTGAGTATGTGAATATGTGTGAGTGCAAATTTACCTTTGAGGGGATCCGGATCCGGCTGACTAAATCGAGTAGTGGCTGCAATGCAAGTTAAAGTTCATAAATATAATTAGATTGTTTAGGCAATAAAAATCAAACTTACTGGCTCCTGATCTGTTCCTTGCACCTTCCCCTTCAGCTGCAATTGTCGCCTTCTTGGTATTGACAGAGCTGGAGGATGGCTCCTCACGGGAAGCTATAGGCTCTTTGGCAGTAACAGAGGTAGTTAGTAACTCATCGACGGTGGTGGAACGCGACTTGGCAACTCGAGTTGGTCTTGCTGCTCGGCTAGCTGCGGACACATTAGATGCCTTAGCAGCGGCGGAGCTAGATAAAGGCTCTTCAATAGACGGAGTTGCAGACCGCGAATTGGCAGCACGAGTTATCCTGGAGTTGTTCCCGGAGTTTGAAGAAGTGTCTGCTTGGTCAACGATTGTCCTGGATATACGAACAACAGCACGTTTAACTGATATGCTAGCTGGCTTTTCTTCTTTGGGCGTGTCGGCATCTTCGACGATAGTTTTACGCCTGGTTCTTGGTAGGGGTTTGTCCTCGGACGCATCCGCCTTACTTTTCTCTACTGACTTGGGCTTCTTTGCATTTTTCAACTTGACAGGGTTTTCTGCTTTAGCCGTTTCAGTATCATCTTCACTAGCTTTGCGCCTGCCTCTGGCAATTGGCTTGGGAATATCCTTGGGTTTGTCCTTTAGATCTCTTTCCTTATCTCCTCCAGTTGTCCCAGCATCTTCCTCACTGGTTTGACGCCTGGTTCTGATCGTTGGCTTGGGCATATCTTTGGGTGTGTCTGCCTTTTTGACCTTCCTTCCACTTGCTGTCTTCGCAGGCACCTCAGCATCTTTAATGGTAGCTTGGCGTGTGGTTTTAGGCTCCGCAATCTTGGATTTTGTTTGCTTTTCTGTGCCAGCATCTTCATCACTGGTTTTACGCCTGCTTCTTGTCGTTGGCTTGGGAATGTCCTTGGATGAGTCGGTTTTACTTGTCTCCGCAGTCTTTGCTTTTCTATCGCGCTTCTTTTTGGATGGTGGCTCTTTGTCCTCCAACTCAGTGATTACCTTACTCTTTTCTAATGAGTTTCCTGGAGTACCAGAGCGGCTATTAATTCGATTTCTACGGTCTTGCCATTGATTTGCCACTACTTTGAAAGCAGCTTCTCCTTTATCATCCTTGGTTTTCTCTTCAGCAATCACGCCTATTTCATGTTCTGGGCAAACTGATTTGTTAAGAGCTGAAAATTGAATATTAGTAGAAATTTCTTGGGTTCTCTGTAAGAAACTTACGTTCCGAGTTTTTGTCCGCTGAATTTGCTCGCCGTTTTCTCACGTTAATTTCCAATCTCTGAGATCCCTCTGATATTCGTCGATTCTTTCGGCTTGCTGTAAAGTAAATGCATTTGAAATACTCCGAAATTGCTGGATTTTTGGTGACCTACGCGTTGCTGGAGGAGATTCTGATTTGGCCACACGTTTGCGGCTGCCATCGCCGGTTGCGTCAGTACGCCAACGACTTTTGTTGCTCAGATCACTGAAAACCCCTTCGATCTGGCAAATCTGCAAGGTATATCCTCTTTATAGAAAATTGGTCTCGGAGATAAAGCTTTAAGTTACCTTTTGGTAGTGATTCTTATCCTTTATCACGCATGGCTTGAAGAACTTTATCTCCTCTTCGTTGGGATTTACAGGCGACGTTACCACCGTTCCCGAAACCATTTCATTCAGCACAGCATCTATCTCATCACAAGAATCCTCAACGGTTTTTGTACCTGGAATAGGTTGTGGTTGTCAGGTCACTGTGTCACATATAACTTGATTTATTGGATCCCGATTTAGGAGTGGGATACTTCTGGATAAAAATAGTAGTCTATTTTTATTTTTTATAATTTTAAGAATAGGAACCCAAAACTGCACTTCTATACTCTATAGCTCGAGTTATTGAATTCCGATTTGGACGTGGGATATTCTGCATTAAAATGTATCTTTAAAACGAAGGTCAACATTTTGACCCATTTTCATGTTCGATATTTCCGTATTTCCAATGGGTTCCAGAATGGGAGCCAAAAACTGCACTTCTAGACTCTATAACTCGAGTTATTGAATCCCGATTTAGACGTGGGATACCTCTATGAATTTGTGGTTGAATTCTCTAATAATCTGCATTAAAATTTATGTTAAGATCGAGGGTCCAAATTTTGACCCATTTTCATGTCTGATTTTTCCGTATTTCCCATGGCTTCCAGAATGAGTACCCAAAACTGCACTTCTAGACTTCATAACTCGAGTTTTTCGAGCACGATTTAGACGTGGGATACCTCTTTGAATTTGTGGTTGAATTCTCTAATAATCTGCATTAAAATTTATGTTAAGATCGAGGGTCCAAATATTGACCCATTTTCATGTCTGATTTTTTCGTATTTCCCATGGCTTCCAGAATGAGTACCCAAAACTGCACTTCTAGACTTCATAACTCGAGTTTTTCGAGCACGATTTAGACGTGGGATACCTCTATGAATTTGTGGTTGAATTCTCTAATATTCTGCATTAAAATTTATGTTAAGATCGAGGGTCCAAATTTTGACCCATTTTCATGTCTGATTTTTCCGTATTTCCCATGGCTTCCAGAATGAGTACCCAAAACTGCACTTCTAGACTTCATAACTCGAGTTTTTCGAGCACGATTTAGACGTGGGATACCTCTATGAATTTGTGGTTGAATTCTCTAATATTCTGCATTAAAATTTATGTTAAGATCGAGGGTCCAAATTTTGACCCATTTTCATGTCTGATTTTTCCGTATTTCCCATGGCTTCCAGAATGAGTACCCAAAACTGCACTTCTAGACTTCATAACTCGAGTTTTTCGAGCACGATTTAGACGTGGGATACCTCTATGAATTTGTGGTTGAATTCTCTAATATTCTGCAATAAAATTTATGTTAAGATCGAGGGTCCAAATTTTGACCCATTTTCATGTCTGATTTTTCCGTATTTCCCATGGCTTCCAGAATGAGTACCCAAAACTGCACTTCTAGACTTCATAACTCGAGTTTTTCGAGCACGATTTAGACGTGGGATACCTCTATGAATTTGTGGTTGAATTCTCTAATAATCTGCATTAAAATTTATGTTAAGATCGAGGGTCCAAATTTTGACCCATTTTCATGTCTGATTTTTCCGTATTTCCCATGGCTTCCAGAATGGGTACCCAAAACTGCACTTCTAGACATCATAACTCGAGTTTTTCGAGCCCGATTTAGACGAAGGATACCTCTATGAATTTGTAGTTGAATTCTCTAATATTCTGCATTAAAATTTATGTTAAGATCGAGGGTCCAAATTTTGACCCATTTTCATGTCTGATTTTTCCGTATTTTCAATGACTTCCAGAATTGGTCCCCAAAACTGCCTTACTAGACTCCATATCTCGAGTTTTTGGAGCCCGATTTAGATGTGCGATACATCAATGATTTTGTGGTTGAATTCTCTAAAAATCTAAATTAAAATTTACTTTTAAAACGAGGGTCAAAATTTTGACCCATTTTCGTGTTCGATATTTCCGTATTTTCAATGGGAACCAAAAACCCCACTTCTAGACCCTATAACTCGAGTTATTGAATCCCGATTTAGACGTGGGACACCTCTATGAATTTGTGGCTGAATTCTCTAATATTCTAAATTAAAATTTAGGTTTAAAACGAGGGTTAAGATTTTGACCCATTTTCGTGTCTGATTTTTTCGTATTTCCAATGGTTTTCAGAAAGCTCGAGCTAACTTCAAGATGGGATATCTAAAACTGCAGTTCTAGATTCCATAACCGTAGTTATAGGATACCGATTTTGAAGTGGGATACCCCTATGAGTTTGTGGTTAAATTCTCTAATATTCCGCATTCAAATTTACGTATTGTATTACCCCGCTTAGAGGTATTTTTGTTCAATCCACCATAGGATCATTTCATAACATACGAACCTGAACCCTTTTGGGCACTGACGTCGTGTGGAATGTTTTCCTTGTTGCTTATACTCGTGGAATGCTGGTAGACCACTTGAAAAGGTTGTGTGGCTATAAAGTCCTGGCACCGAGAGCTGTTGATCTTGGCTGGAAAGGCTTGAGTGGCTAGGAAGTCTTGGTTGGAAGTCTCATTGTCTTTTGGTGGCTCTGTAGAATCACTTGGCAGTGGGCGACCCAAGTTGAACACCTGAGTTTCTATGAAATCCTGGTTGGAATTCTCATAAGCTTTTGGTGGTTTGGGAGAATCATTTGTTTGTGGTCGCAGAAAGTTAAAAGCCTGGGTGGCTATGAAATCTTGATTGGTTTCATTTTCTTTTAGTGAAGCTTCGTTTGGTTGCGGGCGTGCCAAGTTAAACGCTTGAGTGGCCACCAAATCTTGATTCGGCAACTCATTGTCTTCGTCGTCACTTTCAAACAATTTATTTCCAGGAAATCGTTGAGTGACTATCATATCCTGATTGCTCTCCTGACTCCTCTCTGCGTTATCTTTGTCGGGAGTGGCAGTAGGTGTCTCAATGGTGGCCACAACCAGCTGTTTGACTCCGCCAAACTGCGGTGTGGTGGCATTTCCTCTATCCGCCGGACGAACGAACGGATCTGGACTACAGGAGTCGGCTCTCCCGTCCCTGCCCAAGATCAAATCAAAGAGTTCAGGGGTGCATATGTTACGATCTACGGAGGGAGCGGTCAATTCAGGCGTAATGCAGGCATCCCCTGGCGGCAGCACTGCATCCGCTTTGGTGCTACTCAGGGCACTGCACTTGGAATTGCTTGCTGACCAATTCAAGGCACTCATTTCAAAGTCGGTAGTGTCCAGTTGATCTGAAAAGTTTTATATATGAAGGTATAGTATTGAAAGTCATAGGTTCCACAGAGCATGCACTCACCCCGCTTATTTTCCTTCTTCTCAAGAGATTCCATGGGTTTTGTGGGCGGCGGCAGGGGTAGAAGAGCATCGCAGAGGACCTGAGAGGAATCAAAGTCATCGATGGCATCCTCATTGTAGTCCTGGGTGCACATGCGTATCATGCTGCCCTGGGAGGACTCCCCATCGCTGCCAATAGTGAAGTTATGCGGATTCAGCACTGGTTTGATGGGATGTACAGGTGGAAGTTCCGCCAGAAAATCCTGCGTTTCGGGTATCATAAAGTCATCGCCCAGCGACACTTTTCCACTGGTCCGTGGCCTATCCAGGACAACTGCTTGGGTCTCGGGTATAAAGAAGCTATCCGCCGTAGTATTAACCGTCGTGTTGGCGGATGGAGGCTGTGTCTCCGGGATGTCCAAGCTGTCCAGTGTCGAGTTGATGGACCTGTTCTTCAGGCACTCTCCGAATCCACTGCTGTCGTGGGCCTAAAAAAGAGGATTTGCTTTTCAAATCAAATCTAAGGAGATTTCTGCAATGCCCACCTCATCGTTGTCCTCCTTGATCTCCAGCCTGGCCTCCACATTCCCAAATCGCAGCTTCACGTGACCGGTTAAGGCGTCCTCCTTGCCAATGTCCACAAGGGTCTTCTCCTGGTCGTAAACGAACATCCTGCCTACCAGGGCCGCCAGGCGCACCACTCCCCGGCGGAGGATGCAGGCGGTGGCATGAGCTAGCTCCATGGACTACGCATAACAATTATTTAAGTTATTTAACCTCTGGAAAGAAGGTAAAGATCTCACCTCATCAGCGACGCTGATTTCCAGGCCTTTCTTCCTTCCAATACGGTATATTATATCGGGTTTCAGGAGGATCGCCGGTAAGCCGTCAAAAACCAAGCTTACATCTGCCATCCTGGAGAGCGCGCCAAGCGTAAATGCGGTGGAAGGGGGATCAGGGGTGAGTCCTTATAATTTATTGAACAAAAACAAAACAATACAAATATTTGTAGTCCTTTACGGCAGTGTTGCCAGATGAAAAATTGACTTTCCACCTAAAAAATCCAGTTCTCAAAAATCGGTTAATTTCAAACATGTAAGATAAGCAGTGATGCTAACTTAGCTATTTTCTCACTTCATCTAGCTATTATCTAAATTTCAATTGACAAATGCTGGATAAATTGTAAAATAGCGACTTGTGGAAAGTTTGGAATAAGTTTTGTTATTTGTTAATCATAAAGGTGAAACCATCCAAGTATCTCTGAAAATCGGATGTTAAAAGTTGATTTTTGTCAGGTAAAATACCATATGGGTCAAATTAAGCAATAGATTTCCACAACCATTTTTAATGGAATTTCATTTAAATTATACTTAATTGACTATAGTAGAGATAAAAGACATTGGACAAATGAAGCCAAAACATCATGAAGTTAGGAGACGAATTCAATAAGCTAAAATTACTCCAATTTTTCTTTGAAAACAGCCGCCAGTCGCTAGCCGCCATTTTTCAATTTACCGCGCTTTTTCCAATTGAAAACAGCTAGATCAAGAGGAAAACCAGCTAAATTGGCAACACTGCCTGGTGCAATGTTTACGCGTCGAGTCATTACTATAGCAACAACCAATTTTTGTTTTCCATCTGTTTGCGGGTTTTCCAGGAATATGGTTTAAACTTAAGGTGGATTTCCGACCATGTGTGAGGAATGAGTGATACCGACACTGACGACACCGATCTCTTGCTGCTCATACCACCAGACTTCGACTTCTGTGCGGAGGCCAAGATGAGCGCAGGCGCGGCTGCCGCAGATGCACTGGCCATGCCCCCGCCGCCCGCGCCCACAAGTGCGGCGTACCAGTTCCTGCATCCCAGCAAGAAGTCGGAGCTGAACCACATAAATGCCCGGCTGCAGAACATCGGACTAGACGCGGAGGAACCGCCGTCGGACATATCCACCATATCCACGAACACGGTGAGGAACACGGCAGCAGGTTGGCCAAGTAGAGAGCTCCATGGTATGGTGCACTCCACGCCGAAGAGTGGCTCCTCAATGGAGCCCCTGCGCCAGCGACCTCTGGAAGACAACATCCTCCTCGAGATCGATCACTACCTGGACGAAAACAATGCGCATCGCTGGCGACAGCGACAGGATCACCACCTGCATCACCACAGCGATGATCATCTCCGGAACGAGCGGCTGACACAGGAGGGTCATGCGGCGACCACATCTCTACCCAGCATGAGGCTGGCCTCCTCCTCCTCCGGCGCTCCTTCAGTGGAGCCAGCCAGAGGTGCCCGAAATAGCCTTAATGAGAACAAGCTCATCAGCCTCAGCGACCTCTGGGGCAAGAGCAGCATGGCTAGAACTGTCCTGGACAACAACTCCCCCAACCGACTCCTTTGCAGTCCTTCCCTAAAGGAGGAACAACTCAGAAGGCAGCATCTGGAGAAAACAGTCCACACCCTGCAATCCCAATTACTGGAGTACCAGCAGCGCATATCAGTGGCCATCGAGGTAGATCGCTCCAAGGATGCCGCACTCAGTGAGGCAGAACAAACGGCCCAGAGTCTCAACTACGAGGTTCAGCAACTGCGGGACGCTCTCCACAGGCTGGAGGCGGACAGGAGCGAGTCTCAGGGCAAGATCGAAGCACTGCAGCATGAGTTGTCGCAGGCTGTCAACTTGGCCACCAAGTTCCAGGAGAAGAATGATAAACTGGAAGCAGAACTGGACCATCGCAGGCAAGATGCCAAAGATTGGGACGAAAGGCTGGAGCAGATGGAAATGCAGCTAACCAGCAGCAAGAGAGCGGAGGAGCTGTCCCACGCCGAGCTCAACAAGCTGAGGGATAAGTTTGCCAAGGTAGACTACCAGCAGGAGAAGGTAAATTTGTAGCGAGAAAGCAAATGTTGACCATTTCTAAAGTCCTTAATTTTTTCAGCTAAAAGCCCGCATAGAAGAACTTGAGAAAGACAAGAACACGCTTAACCACCAAAAGGAAATGTTGCAGGAATATCATCAAAAGCAGAAAGCTAGAGCGGACTCCTTGGAGACCCAGCGTAAATCCCTCCAAGAAACGCTGGCTAATCTGACCGAAACTGAGGTTGTTCTTGAAACCCCCAAAAAGTAAAGCCAACCATAAATTAATATCGTTACTTTGCAGACCAATCTCAAAAAAAAGCTAGAAGTACAGCAGAAATCCCTCAAGCAGTACTACCAACAGCAAATGGAAAACGTGGTGGCCAAAAAGATGCAGGAGTTCCAGGACCAGCTAGACAAAAACGAGGAGCATCTGAAGAGCGAAGCTCGCGAGCGGGAAAGACTGATTGCCGAGCGGGCTGTGAAGCAGCTCGAAATGATCAACGAGAAAAACAACCAGGAGCTGAATCTCATCCAGGAGAAGCACAACGAAGAGGTGGAACTGTACCGCCTGCAGCTGGCGAATGCCTCCAAAAAGATTGATGAAATGGACCTCAAGCTCAGCTGTTACAAGACCAAGCGGTAAGATATGAAAAGTAATCTGGTGTTCCAGAATTAAACAGAGATATTTCCAATCCCAGTGCTGATATTGCGGAGAAGCTGCATGGAGTGATGGAGGCCCAGTGGCAGCAGGCACTTGCCATCCTCACCACTCCCAATCAGAACTCCCTGATGCAGGCCAGCGACACTGAGGGGGAATCTCCGGAGCTTAACAATGCCCGCATGTATCCAGAGACACCCAAGACCAGTAAATCGCAGCGCAGCAACAGCACGGAGAAAAACAACCTGGATGTGGTGGGCAAGCGGGATCCGCCCTCGCCGATGGACAAGCTGCAGGCCTACATTGAGCTGCTCCTCAGCAAGTCGCCCAGTGATTTCGACAAACTGGATGAGATCCTGGCCATGACGACCAAACAGGGCAGCAAGCAAAGCAAACCAAAAGGCACAAGTGGCGGAAGCAAGCCTCCGCCCTGGAAGTGCTGACAGCAAGAGAAGCTCTCGATAAGTAATATTGTATTTAGTAATATCCATAGTTCGATAAGTATTAATCCCCATCCCCCATTCAGTAGCCACTACGATGTACATTGTAGTTTTATATTCTTACTTAGGAACTCAATAAGTAAATAGTTAAGATTTTTTGCAAAATACGATTGTTTATTTGATAATATCAACAATTGAAGGCAGCGCGGGCATTTTTCCATGCGGCACGGGAAAAACAAAATACGAAAGTTAAATAATAATAAAAAGTTTTGGTACAAAAGGTGTATTTTACAGCTCTATGAGACCTAGCCTAGGAATCTTATAGTCTTTCTGATATATCAATTTCGAGGCGGTCGCAAGCGAATGTTTTAGTTTGATATCTTTAAGAAGGAAACATTCACCGTCTGACCGGACCAAAATTTGTTCTTTGATTCAGCTGCTTTTTAAGATTTTTTATGTGTCTGTCATTGATATGCTTTGAGTTGAGTTATTGAGTATGTCGATCCGATTCAATTCCCATTGACCTCATTTGTAGACGATCTGCGGGAACTTTGGGGCATTCCCGTAGAGACCCTCCGACTCCCAAACTTGGATGTGGGACTCTCGCGTTAGCACCACCAAATGCTGATGTGTGGAGTAGCAAATGCTGTAAGGGGAAAAGAAATGGTACTTTGATTTCTTACAGATCCCAAGCTAACTTTCTCTTACCTCCGAATGGGCGAAGTGCCCGTGGTCAGCTCACTGACAAAGCTCAGGTTCCAGCTGGACCAGAAGCGCACAAATCCTCCCTCCACGGCGGTGGCTATCACATTCACGCCCACTCCCTCCTTGATGTACGAGTAGCAGACGGCCAGGATGCGGTCCTCGTGCACCAGATGCTGCACATACCGCGCGTTCACCGAATGCAGCCGCAAGATGGACTTGCCATTCGGATTCACATTCACATTGACAAAGTCGTCCAGGTTCTCCTCCGTGACCTCGAAGCATTCGTCGGCAATATTAAGGGAGTTCGGCCTAATCGCAGCTGCCACAGGCTTAGAATCCGTTGAGGGCTGGGGCAAGGTGTGCACGGTGACAATGTCTCCCAGCGTGGGACTGATGGCCACATGGGTTATGGGCGACTGATGGATCTCTGCCGGCCGGGCAATAGTTCGCACATAGCTCCAACTAAGGGAATATCATACGTAAATATTTCCGAACCACACTCAAATGTTTACTTACTCGTTCAGATCCCAGATAACGGCTAGGCCATCACGTCCAGCCGTCACCGCAATCTTGAACTCGACGGAGAGGGTGATGCAGGTGATCTCGTCGGTGTGCCGCACCAGCAACGTGGGTCCCAGCCAGTTGAGATCGGCTCCGTCCCGCTGGAAGGCATCGCTGCCGGAGGAATTGATTGAGGAGTTGACTGAGGAGGCTGAATTGGTTGGGTGTAGATTTCCCGCCTCATCCAACCTCTCAGATCCACCTCCTCCTCCTGTTATTCCCTTGCTGGTCATCTTCCGGAAGGCCGAGTTGTAGGACAAACTAAAGCCGCGGGCATAGCTCTGCCTGCTCTTGGCCGAGGCTCGCTGCTGGGAGTCCGTTCCTCCCATGCACTTGTACACACTTACTCTTCCCGATTTGTGGCCGAACCAAAGCTGATTCGAGTTCACATCGCAGCCACAGGCAGTGATGTCGTCGAAGGTTCCATTGTGCAGCAGGTTCTTTGGCTTGGCCTGTGGCTTGTTGAGTGGTTGGATCCTCACAATGCGATCGTCGTAGCCCCAGGAGATCACGTTATACGTGTCCGGCTCGGCTCCCTGCATCACACTTGCCCTCGCTGGCAGGGCATACACCACGTTGGTGTTGCTGAAGCTCACCAGGTGCTCGGTGCCGGGTATCTTGTGTATGTTCGCCCAGGAGGGAGCCTTCAGCTGCGGCGATCCCACATAGACGCCCCAGCGCAGACCCCGTACGGTGGACACTATTGGTTTGTCCACTAACGAGTAGTCCAGCGCCTTGGTCGCCGGATGTGGTGACTTAAAGAGCTGCCTAGGCATCTGACCATATGTCTTCACCATAGTCTTGACGGCTTCTCGTTCGATGGGATCACTGATCTCCGAGTCCAGGAACACGGCATAGGTCTGGGATAAAAACAAGGTAAAAATCTATATGCTACAAAGGTACCTTATGGTAACCCACCGCTGGATGAAACACATTGATGGCCTCCACGGCGCTCTCCCCGCTCTGTTTATATCCGTAGATCAGGTCTATCCAGTTGTGAATCTGATTCCGCACCAGTTCCGACTCCAAGGCCTGTCGATGGATGAGCACAAAGAGCCGGGAGTCCCGCTGACACCAGGGCGGCAGCGAGACATCCTCCACCCGTTCGCCGTTCTGTCGGCAGCCGAATTTGAAACGCTCGAAGTTCTCGAACATCTCCGGCAGGCAGAAGAACTCCGGAATAAGCTCCTTCACATCCGTGGGACTATCCCGACTGGCCAGCAACCAAGTAGTGTTCAGAGCATGGAACGTGCGATCCGGCAGATCGAAATCGTTGTCCTGGTAGCGCAGGAAATAGCTGGTGAACGGTGGAACCCTCACCAGGAAATGGAGTACAGTGCCGGAATTCGAGTAATGAGAACTGTAGTGATATGGTTTTAGGATCAGGGAGCCCATCGTTGTGTTGGTACTGTCAATATACTGCAAGGATACAAAGATGTAGGTCAGTTTCTGAAGGAATAAGATTTGAGATCACCCACCGTGTAGTTGCTGATGTAGTGCTTTTCATTCTCCTCCAGCTGCACGGCAATGGGTCGTCCTAGCCGCCTGAAGTTATGCGCCTCCCGGAGATCCAAAATCTCCGAGTTGTAGTTGGCCAGCACCCAGGGAAACACTGGGTACTGCATGAGATCGTTGTACGTGCGTCCGGCGATTTGATTCAGGGTCATTAGGTACTCCCAGTTGGTAAGGAGACCCTCGCGCCACTGCTGGGTGATAGCCAGCACCTTGGCCTGATCCGGTGTGGCCACGATTTTATCACAGAATACCTCGCGCATGATCTTCCAGTCGTCGGCGTTCTGCAGCGAGAAGAACAGCGACTTGTTGGTGTCCAGCAAGATCTCGAAGGCCGTCTCCTGGTGCTGGTAGCGCTTCAGCCAGATCTCCGTTATGTTGGCGATATCACAGTTGACGTTGAAGTACCGACACCGGTAGGTGGCCAGGAAGTAGAGCTTCAAATCGGTGATGATGATCTCGCCCTCGATCTCCCCGTCCACGGGCAGGAATTTGGCTGCAAAGTTGTACAGAATTTGGGAGTTGAGCGATATATTCAACTGTTGATCGTAGCTGGCTATAAGGTAATCCAGAGGTCTTATGTACGGCTCCAGATCCTCGCGTTGTCCCTGGCCCGGTCGGTATTCGTTCATAAAGAAGCGTCGATCGATGTCCAGGTGGCACCGTCGCAGACGGGTATGAACTCGTGAGGGTCCCTCGGTGTCGTCAAGTTCCCAGGAGCTAGGGCGTGGGTTAAGCGTTAATTAAAGTCATTGATGGATTTTTGTATTCCCTTACCATTCAGCCCTCTCAGCAGAGTGCCAGGGAGCACCCTCATGCGTCATGCGACGTATGATCTCCAACCACTTGGTGTAGGTATAGGTATCATCGTAGACCTTCATGTGGCACATCAGGGCCTTGCGTTCAGCATTCTGGAGGGGATCAAAGAGGGCAATATCAGTATCTGTCCTATGTTCTCCCTGTTCTCAACTAACCTGCAGTTCCGCCACTTTCCTCGTGGTCACCATGGATGACTCTATGCAGTGCTGAACCAGTGGCTCAAATCTGTAGACAGTCTTCTCCAGCATTGTCTTCTGCTTGGCCGCCATATTATTGCGATTCTGATCGAGTCGATCCAGTTCATGGACCAAATTCCATGAGGAGTCATTCTCCTTGATGCCCAAAGCGTTACAGAGTCTCTGCAGGTTTTCAATGGGCTCCGCCATGTCCTCCAGCAAAGAGAGCCAGAGTAGCGCTTTGATCATCTTGCCATCGCAGATGATAGCCCGCTGGAATTCATCCTGTTGGGATCGCCACAAGGCATCCACAATGTAGGAGCGCAGATCCCGAGGTCGCGAAGGTTGCAGTCCCCACGCGATGAAGTTGTTGCACCGCTGATTGGTCGAGATCCCATAGGAAACGAGCAGCTGGAAGAGAGCTAGCTCCTGGGAACTGGCCACATAGGTGGGTCCGGTGGTCTGGCCCACGCCTACGGTAAAGAATTGGGTGCAGCGATCGATGAGCAGCTCTACCCGGGTGCGCAACTCCGTGGGACTCAGTGGGGAATTATTGGTCAAGGCAATCCGAAAACTGTTGGGCTCAAAGAACTTCGTAAGCCACTCCAGCTGGAGTTGAGCTTGGGCAGTGCGAAAACTGCGCATGATCAGCTGCGGTTGCTTGTCCTGGTAGAAGGCCAGTAGGTTTAGGATGTCCCAAACGAGCTGGAGGAAAATATTTAAGGTATGAATATCTGTCAAAGTGATACCACTTTGTTTATCTCTTAAATACCCACATTAATCTGTCCCACAGATCGCAGAGCCCGCTCCCCAAGATTTGCCAGTAGTTCCACAATAGACTCATCCGCATTGGATTGGCCCAGGCGCAAGGAGTAGATCTTGTAAAGCGCCTTTACCGAACACTGCAGGAGTCCTGCCTCAATCAGACATGTCTGATCATCGGGATTCTGGAATAGGGAGGTTATAGAAGGATTATAAAGTAGGTAAATTGGGGTATATTTAACTCACCTGCAGATAAAGACGTAGAAGGGCTTTAAACACTCTTTGTGGTTCCGCTCCCTCTGCGATGGCCAGAAGGGATTGGAGTCCAAAGCGTTGACGAATCCTTAGAGGAGTTTCGCCGCTCAGAACATCCGTCAGGCTGCCATGCATACCGCTAATCCACGCCAGGCAGGCCTCAAACATGCCTGTATCACATCCGTGTATGGTCAACTGATTGGCCAAGTGCAGGGGATACATCAACTTGGTGGCGGCGTTTAGTTCACCACTGGCCAAACGCTTGGTCAGCACACCCAGCAGCTGGATGATGGCCTGGCGAACGGCGCAGCTGCGTTGGTTGG